GGGGGGGGGGGGGGGGGGGCAGCTGGGGTAAGAGGGGACAGGGCCCAGAGGCCTGCGTTCCTCCTGCTCCTGCCTCCAGACAGGACTGTCAAAGCCATGGTGACGGAGATGAGCATCGGGGAGGAGGACTTCCAGCAGCTGCAGGCCCAGGAAGGGGTGGCCATCACTTTCTGCCTCAAGGAATTCCGGGTGAGTTTCCCCCCAACACGCTCCCCACCCTGCCCTCCCGGCCCCGCCCAGGCTCACTGCTCTGCCTCTCCACTCCCAGGGACTCCTGACTTTCGCAGAGTCCGCAAACTTGTCTCTTAGCATTCACTTCGATGTGCCAGGCAGGTAATTCCCAGCCTCGGGTGTGGGAGGGGAGGCTCTGGGCTGCCGGGAGCTGAAAAGCCCTGACCTGGCCCAGGACCTGTCATCTGCCTAGGCCAGCCATCTTTGCCATCAAGGACTCCCTGCTGGACGGACACTTCGTCCTGGCCACGATGTCCGAGTCGGACCTGCGCTCCCCAGAGCTACACAGGCTGGCGCCTCCGCTCCAGGCTCACAGGTGAGGATGCCCACCCGCCTGCCCACGCCTCCCCACTGCCATCTCTGTACCCTGGCCTGAGCCTGCGGCCCGTGTGCCACCCCCAGCACACACACTTCCTGTCAGGCCCCAGCCCCTACAGTACTCACAGCCCCTTCCAGCCCCGCAGGCTCAGCCTTCCTGATCAGCTGTGCTCAGAGATCCCTCCCACCCAGGGAAGTGTCCCCAAGGTCGGGCTGGCTTCCTTCTCTGGCTGAGTCCTCCCCTCTGAGCCTCTTCCCAGGCCAGGGAGGGAACAGGCTGCTGGGAGGCAGGGAGCTGCCTGGGGCTGGGGAAAGCAGGTGGCTGGAAGGGCAGGTGGGATGGGGAGGATGGGCCCAGTGTAGCTGAAACAGAGGAAGTTTAGTCTGGCCCCCCGCCCAGCACGTCCCTGGGCCCCAGTGCTCTCCAGCTCTGTCTCCCGGGAAGGAGGAGGCTTTGGCCCCAGGTGGTCTAGCTCAGAGGATTTGATGCTCCCCTACCCAAACTGAGCTAAACTCGCTCCCAGGATGCCTCCCTCAGGCCCTGATCTGAACGCTGATCAAATGGATTCCAGGTCCACTCCCTGCAGGAAGCCTCCACTTAACCACTACGTCTTTTCCCCTCCAACTAAATGAGAAAGTAGTAAAGCCGAGGGATCATCACTGGTCACAAGGCGTTTACAGCCCCCTCTGAGTCCTCTAAGGAGGGGCCCTGCTCTGTACCCTCTTTTCTCCCTGTTCCTGACACCGTGTTCCTGCCTACAGCACACCCCACCTGGATGACTTTGCCAATGACGACATTGACTCTTACATGATCGCCATGGAAACTACTGCAGACATCGAGGGCTCCCGGGCAGTACCCTCTGTGTCCTTTTCACCTGGCCACCAGCCCCCTTCTAGCCCTGGCCCCTACTCAGAGGACAACGACACTGAGCCCAGTATAGAGCCTGGGACTCCCCCCCCCAAGAAGGTAGGAGCTGGAGATGGAGGCAGGGGTGGGAGGCAAGGAGGGAGCAGCCTCCAGAACTCACCCCGCTTCCTCTGCTCCCTTCCAGTTCCGCTCGCTGTTCTTTGGCTCCGTCCTCGCCCCTGCACACTCCCCTCCCGGCCCCAGCCCTGTGCTGGCTGAAGATAGTGAGGGTGAAGGCTGAACTGAGAACAAGCCCGTGTCCAGAGGCCCTGGACTAGACGAAGCCACGGCCTCCCCCTTCCCCCAGAGAGCTGATCTCTGCCCTGGTGGGTGGTGAAGGCAGGCTGTGCTGGAGTGGAGCTGGTTGGTCTTGTCCCCACCTCAGACCCCTCCCAGCTGTCTGTGACTAGCCTGGGTCCTGTCTTCCCTCACCAACTCCCAACCAATCATGTCTGTTCCCAGGCTTGGCACTGAGCTGCCACCTGATGGGAGGTCCCTCACCTGTTCCTCCCCGTAGGCCTTCAGGCCAGACTCCTAACTACGCAGCCAGGGTGGACACCTGCCTTCCCTAAGACAAAAGTCACAAAGGGGCTCTTGGCCCCTGCTGCTCTCCCGGCTTTGCCAACCATGACGTGTCCCTTCCTTAAACCCTGGGCACGCTCCTGGGATCCCTTTAGCCGGCAGACTATTTTTCTTGCTTTCTCTATGCTGTCTGGCCCTGGTTTGGAATTCTAAGCCCCCGTGGACCCGAGCCTGTGGCTGGGGTTGCCTTGGCTGGCGCCCCATGCCCGGCAAGCCTGTCCTCCCAAGCGGCTCTGGGCAGAAGGGCTGCCAGGCTCAGTATTTGGGACAAGGGAGACAGAGGCCGTGGCGAGAATCCAGCTTTGACCTTTATTCAAGAGACCAGATGGGTCGCCCCAGGATCTGTCTGCTGGCCCTGAGGCCAAGCGAGGCTGGAAACCCACATCTGGCCCTGCTTTGCCCTGAGCTGCAGCCTCAGCCCCAGGGTCCTGCTTGTCGCCACCGCCGGTGCAGGCGGAAGGAGCCCTGGGGGACTGGACGCTGCTATCGATTCATTAAAAAAAAAGAAAAAGAAAAATATACCAAGGCTCCGTGCTCCCCGTGACAGGTGGGCCTGGGGGGAGCCAGCACGAACCCCCCAACGGCCACATAATTTCTGTACAATCCACCATCTGGGGCAGAGTGCGGGCACGTGGAGGCTATTTCTTGGCTTTGGCGGAGTTGCGGGGTGGGGTGATGGGCCGGCCTCCAGGGTTCAGGCCGCTGAACTGCCCGTATTTCCCCTTGTTCTTGTCAGCGGGCTTGAGGATCTACAAGAGACAAAGCTGGTCAGGCTCACGGGCTAAGCCGTGGGGTCACGGGCCCCTTCCTTCCCCATCCCCACCTGGAAGGAGCACATGAGCGTCTCATCCACACTCATCATGGCGCCTGCGTTGTCAAACTCGCCACAGTAGTTGGGAGCTGAGAAGAGTGTCACCAGCTGCCGCTTGGCAAAGAACTCATAGCCGTCTTCCACCACCTGGAGGAGGATGGGGGCAGTTAGCTCAGTAGGTGCTAGCTACCAGGCCCCGGCTCCCCCCCAGCCCAGGGCGGCCAGCCCACCTGGTGTGCCCGGCAGATGAGGTCCAAGTCGTGTTTGTGTAGGAACTTGGCCACTACCTCAGCCCCAAAGGTAAAGGAGACACCACGGTCATTCTCGCCCCAGCCCTGCACGTCCTTGTCAGGGTCAGACCACAGCAGGTCACATAGCAAGCCCTGGTCAGGCACGTCTGTTGGCCGCATGATACGCCGAATCTGCTCCATGGACTGCAGGTCCGGGGACAGGCCTGGGGCGCGTGGGGGGAAGGGGGACACAGGTCACTTTTCTCAAACCAGCCTCGAAGCCCTCCTGCTCCAGAAAGCCTTTGCCGGTCAGTCTCCCCTCACCCACCACCACCTGGCTCTCTCCCAGAGTCCCAGGAGGCCAGGCGGGCAGAAGTCCTCGCCTTCTGCCTCTTCAGGTTCCTGCCCTCAAGGACCAAAGAGCTCTCTGAACAAAGGAGACAAAGTACATTCACGATGCCAAGGCCAAAATGGGGGT